GATCTGCCAGTGTGGGGGAGGGCCGGGGCATACGGGGATACACGGGAGGGGCCGAAGCAGGGGACCGATCGTGACCCGGGTATCGGCGAGGGACAATTAAGCGCTAGGGGGCACGCACGGAGAAAGCACGGCATCCTGGTGCGAGCGATCATCCCCTGGCGTGGCCAGGAAGACGGAGGGGTGCTGGGGGGGGGGGGGGGGGATGGAGCTTGCGGCCCGGTGGGCGGGGGGCATCGGGCCAAGCGGTGCCGGACCGGGGCCTGGCTACCGAGTCTGGGCGAATAGAAGACCACGCCCAGATCGACCGGGCCCCCGGAATGTGGCCCCTTTGGGCTGGCTGGCAGGGGGCTTTTTTTCTTCCCCGGTGGCCGTGTGCGGGCGTGTCCCCGTACTTCGTAAGCATTCTCCGGGCCCAGTGTGTACCGCGGCGTGGCGGCGGGAACGGCCGCGGGCGGGCTCCCGCCGTACCCCAGGCCTTCCGGGGAAAGTGGCCACCGGGCCCCCTGGATGCGGACGGGGTCGATCGTTCCCCAAGCCCCCCCCTGGCTGGGCGGAGGCCACGGCCGGAGCCTAGGCTCCCACGCCTGGGGGTGTGGGTGGGAATCATCTGTGAGGTGTGCGCGCCCCACACGTTCGCGCCAGGGAGCTTCCCCCTGCACGAGGGCCGCCCTAGGCCCGTCGCGGCAGGCGCACGCGCGCGCACTAGTCACTTGCGCAAGGGCCCGCAGGCGCCAATGGCCCCCCCCCCCCCCCCGCCAGCACCGGCGCCGACCGCCATGGCCCCTGGGTCGATCAGGCTTGTTGCGATCCGCCGCCCGGGGGGAGGAAGGCCAGGACAATTCAAAATCCACGGCGCCATGTACGCGCCCCGCCCGAGCGCAATGTCAAAAATCGCCCCCCCCCCCGGCCCCGGCCCCGGCCCCGGCCCCGGCCCCGCGCCTGGGCTGTCTGCCTTGCCCTGATGTCAAGCCCGCCGCGCTCCAGCCGGCCAAAAAGGGCCGCGAGATGGGCTCCACTCCGATGGGCCCCGAGTCCTCTGTCGTTCGGGGGCGGCGAGGAAGGGCCAACTCAGACTCCAGGCAAAAGAGCCAAGGAGCCGGCCACACCGCCGGCAGGCTAGATCGCTGGCCCCCCTCCCCCCGCGAACGGGCCCATGGTCCAAAGAAGTCCTGTCCGCCGGCATGCATGCCGATCGAGAGGGTCCCGAACGATGGTGGGTGCGGCGGCCCCCCGGGTCCAGATCGACTCGTCCCTGCCTTGCTCATGCCTCTCCCGCCGCCGCCGCCGCCGCCACCACCACCACCATTATAACACCAACATCATTGTATAAGGCATCCCCGAGCGGCCTGTGCCTAACATTCGCAAGGCGCCTACCCCCCCCCCCCCCCCCCCCTACGTCGCCTGGAATCACTGCCCTGGGGAACGTAAACACCTCGGCCGGCCCGGAGATTCAGGACCAACCATGGGGCCACGGCCAAGACTCGGGCCCCCCCCCCCCCCCCATCGCCGCACCCATACGCGCGTATCCCAGAGGCAGAGAGGTCTGGCGCCCAGCCTCCGGGGATCCAGGCGGTAGGCAGGGGAGAAATATCCGGCGAGGGAGGGAGAGGCAACGAAACAGAGGGACAGAGAAAGGGGCGGGGGGAGGATGACGGATGTGCCCCGAGGCGTTTGCCACTCTGTGGGGGAGGAGAAACGCGGGCGGATGGGCTGCGGCAAGTTTGATCGTGATCACGCGGACAGGGCGCGCACCTCGGCGGCCACATGAGCATCGGCGCGCGTGTGCGAGCGCCCCTGTTCTCTATTTGCGGGAGGGGAGGAGAGGGGACGGGCGGAGAGAGTCGTGGAGGGGAGACACATGCGCTGCTCCGGTCCCTGCTCTCTATGCCCGGGAGGGCGGGGGGCCGCTGGGGCCGGCCACCGGCGGCGGGCGCCCGGCGGCCGGACGAAAGTGTGGTGGCGCCGAGGCGGCCGGCAGCCCGGGCGGCGGAGGCGGCCGATGGTGCGAGAACGACGTTGGCCGGGTATCTCCTCGCAGGTGGTGGGGAGGGTGGAAGTCCGGGCCGGCGTTGGCCGGGTGCCGAGAGTGGTGATGGTGATGCTGGTGATGGGGATGGCGGTGGGGATGATGCTGGTGGTGGGGATGGAAGGGCTGCGGTGGATGGTGTGGCGGAGGGGGCCCATGGAAGCCCGGCTGCTGGAGATGCGCCGGCGGGGGAGGCAGGTGCGGGAGGCCCCCGGCAGCATTCATGGCCACCGAGGGGAGCAAGGGTGAGGAGGATGGCGAAGAAGTGGGCGGCAGGAGGGGGCTCGGGCCGGCGCCAGAGCCGGCACCCCGGGGAGCCCCAATGCGAGGGTGGAAGTGCACTGGCGGCGGCGGCGGCGGCGGCCCGCCAGGCCGGGCAACCCCACCAACGGCCGGCAAGTCGATCAGCGCCGGGGACAAGGGCGAGGAGGAGTGCGGTGACAGGAGCCCCGGCGAAGAGGACGAGTGCAGCAGCGACCCGCCGGAGGAGGGCAGACCGGCTCCGGGAGGGAGACTCGGACAGGAGGGCGAAGGGGAGATCCCCGGCGGGGGGACAGGCGGCAGGGGACCGCCACCATGGCCTGGCCGGCCGACCGGGCCAAGCATGACATCCAGCTGGTGAGCCACCAGCTCCGGTGAGGGGGTCAGCCCGGGGATCAGCAGCGGCGAGGAGGAGGCCGACACATCGCCATCCGACGACCCGGGTGGAATGGTGTGGGAAAACCGGCAGTTGTGGCCCATGTGGCAGATGTTGTTGCTGAAGTAGAACCGGCAGCTGATGGACTTGAGATCTATCACGGTTGGAGTGCTGGTGTGTGAGTATAGGGACACCCGTGAGGACGGGGGGAGGGGGGGGGGGGGGCACTACGGAAGGCGCGAGAGGAAGGGGGCGGCCAAAGCGAGAGGCATAGGCGATGCGCCGCCAACGCGGGAAGCACGAACCATGGGAGAAGACGCAGTTGTCGCCACGCTTGCAGCTGCCAGACAGGAAGTACCGGCAGGTGTCCATCGGCTTGTCGGGGATGGCATTGTGGGAGAAAGTGCACTCGGTCCCGCGGCCGCACTTGCCCTCCATGAAGTACTTGCACACCACTCGCGGAATGAAGGGCTTCGGCTCGGGGGGCGGGCGATTGGCATTGCGTTGGCGGGCCTGGCCGCCCTTGCTGCTGGAGGATGGGGCCTTTTTCACGTGCTTCGAAGACTCAACCAGTTCCTGGAGCCATGGCGAGGGCGCGCCGGGGGGGGCGGGGGGCGGAGGGAAAGGGACCAGTCGCACGAGGTGAGACGAGGGCGGAGGCGGTGCGGCCGTGGGAGAAGCGTGACAGCGGTCGGCCGAGGCGTGGAGGAGGGAACATCTGCAAACGCACGGCCATGGACATGGTGGATAGGTCGCTGCCGATCGAGCTGTCGGCGAACCAGTCGGACTCGGCGGGGAGGCCCCGGCCCCGGCGGCCAGGGAGGCCGAGGAGCGTGACCGAACTGAGCGTGTGTCCTCCTTGGCCTCGTCGCCGACCAGCGAAAGGCGCCGCTTGCCGATGCCCGGCCGTGCGGCCAGGGACGCGGCATTCGGAGTGGCACCGGCACGGCCACGAGGGAGGCCCGTATGCACATCGACGGGTCCCGCCGTGGGCCTTGAGGTCGATGAGCCGGATGACGGCGCCGGCGGCATTCCAGTGGCGGGGGGCGCATCAGCCGGCAGAGGGCCATCCTTCTTGAGAGATGCGTTGAGGGCATCGGCCTTGGGTGGCGTGGTGGACCTCGTCGTCAGCAGGGGGGAGGACGCCTGCGATGAAGAGGGTGAGGAGCCGGGCTGTGTTTCCGGCCAACAAAACCAGTAAGACGTCAGAGATCGAAGGGGCGGGAGGAGCAGGAGAAGTCAGGCGTGTGCATACGCATGCCCAGCCCTAAGACTCCTGACGGACAGCGGACAGCGGACAGCGGACAGCGGACAGCGGACAGCGGACAGCGGACAGCGGACAGC